TAGATTCCAGGTGTCTGGCAGCCACACGTGGCTGATGGCTGCCATACAGCACTGTGCAGATCCAGAGGCTAAACCATCTGTCCTCACGCTGGTGCTGCAGAGACCGGTCAAGGCCTCCCAACAGTAACTTTGCCTGAAGTGGAATTTGGGGGTGCGTTTCCTAGTCTTCCTGCCGTTAGGTGTGACCGAGGCCAGGCTTCTTTGTTGTTTGCACAAGACGACTCGAGTTCCACGTGTGTTGTGCTTCAGCCCGGGGATCTGCCATGGATTGGCAGAGCCCTGGTCCCCTTAGTGGGAAGTGCTGTTTAGAGAGTCCCAGTCACACAGCTAAGGGTGCTCCTTACTACTGGATTATCATTACTTCTTGGCCTGTTGACTGGGCAGAGCTAAGACATACATAGTTTTACAAAATATTTAATCCCTTGCACATAACACAGGCAATGCAGCTCACGATGGGCCAGAGGCATGAAGCTCTATGACAAGGTCCCCCATCTCGGTCTGGTCAGTGCTCCTCTCCTCCCCTGGGGCTCTTGGTGGACAGACCGCCTTCTGCATCTTTTCTGATGGGCTGCCGAGTCAGCGGTTTAATTTTTAGTATTCTTTTCTGGCTTTAAACCTTACTGCCTTTTGTTTTTCTAAATACAAACTGTAACTTATTTTCTCTAAAGGATTTAAATGATTAGACTATATAAAATAAAAAATAAAAGTCCCCCTTGATCCTTTCCCCAGTCTTCAGGATAACCTCTTACTAGTTTGGTGCATATTCTTTCAAATTCTTATTTTTTTAATTATTAAAAAATTTTAATTAGTAAACGTCTGATACATACAACTATGTCATGTATGTAAATTGTGAAGCATAACACCAAAAATCATATCCATTAACCCAGCATCCCATTTAAGAACTGGAATATCCCCCACGTTGTTTTTTTTTTGGAGGGGGGAGGGTTTCAAAAATTTTTTAAAATTTCAGTTATAGTTTACATTCAATATTATTTTTTACTAGTTTCAGGTATACAGCATAGTACATGATTTTCAAAAGAGGCAAATAATGGTTTTATACTAGTATTTCCCATTCAAATTTAAGAGTACAAGGTTTTTAGTTAAATTCTTTGATTTTAATTCTATGTATTCTTTAATTGTGAAAATCTTAGTTCTTAACAATGTTAATATATAATTAATATTCATTTTTCCTAATATGTAAGTCCATTTTACATTTGTGTGGATGCGTTTTTCTCAGTAATAATACCAATACTATCATAATTACAACACTTAAAAATATATTTTATTTATTTACTTTTAGAGGGGAGGGAGAAAGACAGGGAAACATCAATATGTGGTTGTCAGTCATGCGCCCCCTACTGGGGACCTGGCTCTCAACCCAGGTACGTGCCCTGACTGGGAATCAAACCAGTGGCCCCTTGTTTCGAGGGCCAGCAGCAGCGCTCAATCCACTGAGCCACACCAGCCAGGGCATCATGACTATAGCATTTTGATGAGGAAAATGGTACAGATTTGGCTTACCTAAAAAGGAAAAGCTAATTCAGATTTCCTAACCTCAGCAGTACTGACATTTCGGGCCAGATAACTCTTTGTTTGGAGGCTGTCCTAGGCACTGTGTGATGCTAAGCAGCATCCCTGGCCTCTCCCCACTAGAGCCAGTAGCACCACTGCCCAGCTGTGATGACCAAAATATGTCTCCAGACACGGCCAGATGTTCCTGGGGTGGGGGCAAAATCACCCCCCGGTTGACACTCACTGGAGTAACAGTAGGAATGGACACACATTATATAAATAGAAGTTGTCACATGCTCTACAGCTAAACTCTCGAGGTTTTTTAAGAATTCCAAGACTAACTGACCTTGGTTTACTTACAGAAAAGAAAACATATTATATAAATTGTTCTGCATATTGATTTATTTCTTAATAAAATATTCTGGAAATCTTTCCAAATAAATACAGAAAATTCTTCCTTCCTTTCTTTAGATCTACCTATGTGCCATTTAGTGCATGTGGTAATCTATCCCAGGAACCTAACTGTGGGCACTTGGGTTACTCCCACTCTTTCGCCGTTACAAATAGTGCCGCAGTGAGTAATGCGCATATGTCGCTTTTGTTTTTGCAAAGACACACTCGGTATGTCTTTGGGGTAGGTTCCTGGAAGTAGAATCGTTGGGTCAAGGGGTTAATGCGTGTGAAATTGTAGTAGAGATTGCCCAACTTCCCTCTGTAGAGGTTGTATGTTTTGTATTCCCACTAGTGTCCTGCTTTCACTACTTAACCTTTTAGTAAGAACATTTCCCATGCCATTAAACAATCCTTGAAAATTGGATATTGTTGAACACACACAATGCTCCCAACTTTTCTCTGTCATAAATAACACCGAAATAAACATCCTTGAAAAAAATCTTTGACAAAAATCTGGTTATTACTTTAGAACACATTTCTAGAAGTGGAATTACTATAACAAAAGGTATAGATTTTTTTAAAGTTCCTTGCTACATATTGCCCAAGTTCTTCTCTGAGGAAGTGTATTTTTATCAAGAACATTAGAACAGATCTTTATATTGGCTTCAGAGTCTTACGTGAGGGAATAAATGTATCTGATTCAAGCAGTTTGTCCCTCTGGGGGAAATAATTAAATCATATCAAACTATGTAAAAACCCAGCCCTAAAATCCCCAAAGAAATTCTTCACGGTTGGGCTCTGGTAGTTCTCACCTATAGTATGTTCCCAGGCACTAAGCTACCCTTCACTGTTTGCTAACTTTCCATTTTCCCCAGACAAATCAGGTCTGTCTCAAAGGGGTCATCACTTTTTCCCTTCTCAGCGGTGAGATGGCCTGCAGCATCTTTGTCTATTCCGCACTTCTCCTCCAAGGAGCCCCTTCCCTGATCTATAGCATCACAGAGAGGACAAGAAGAAGGCGAGAAGTAGCAGCTCATCTGAGTCACTGGATGTGTACATGAGCAATGAGAAGGATAACATGTTGCATTGTTAATATTACCGCTTATAGTAACAGTCATGTTAGAAGTGTTTAGTGAGCACAATGAGGGCTAACCTGACCCACCTCGATCGCTGAGTATTCAAAAACTCACACCTAGGAATCCAGAGGGAAACAAAATACTGAACAGGGCCATTAAGGCAAATGCCATCTTTAGATATGTATTTAACTCAATGGTGGTTGGTACAAATAAGGTGTGAAAATTGTATGTGTGAAGCATGTTGAAACTCACCTTTTCCTTGCTATTTGCAAAAGGGCTAGAAATTTCACTATCCCTCTTAAAAATCTAGACATTTGGTATGACCAAACTCTGGATTTAAAAAAAAACCACCCCAAATGCTAATAATTTAGAAGGCATAAAATTGAAGAGATTACTGCACTGAGAATGGAAATATACCTAGGTAAACTACTTCTTCCCATATGAACTCACTCCTCTCTGGTATGATATTTCTACCGAGTGTACACGTGTGAAGGTGGAGCTCAGCAGACGTAACTCCGTACTGTCCACAAAAACTCCACACATCCCCTGGGCTCTAGGTGAAGCAGGAAATGTAGGTGGAAGCTATTACGTAGGGCTCGCTGTGGGAAAGGAAGTAACCTCAGTGCCTTGTTCATCAGCTCCCCATCATCTACCAGTTCCTTCGCCTGCTGTTCAAGGACTGCCATGACCACTCACTTCTTGTCGATTGTGGATGTACTGCAAAGACTTTGCATACAAAACTTTGCTTTTCTCAAGTCATGCTGATAGTTTGCACTACTGAATGGACAAAACTGTAATTATGTTAGGTTTCCAAACTCTGTAAAATTCAGAGTGATCTCTGTCCCAGGAAGCACATGGCTTAGCAGGGAGACAAACTAAGGGGCTGAGGAAGGTTTGGCGCCAGAGCCCATGTGCTCAGCGGCAAGGCCGTACAGCCCACACACACTGTCCAGGTGGCCAGCAGGCATGGGTTCAGTGGCCAGGCCCTGAAGTCTGTCACCCTTCTATCTCATGTCACTCTTACTGGTTGCTTTTGCCCTTTGAGGTGATGGGAGTCCCAGACAACCAGAATAAAGAAGACATGAGAACAGAATCACTAGTCAAAAATCAAAGTGTAAGAGCTGAAGGGAGTGTTTTCTGGTTGCGACAAGTTAAATTTTTTCATATAAATATATTGGCATAAAGAATGATTCCTGGGTCCATTCCATTTGTCCTTTGTTTCCTCCCTTGCATGATTATATTGTTATTGATGTCATTAAAAGTGCATTCATCAGGCCCTGCTGTCAGAGACTTGCACTTATTTTGTGCCCACAGGCAGTTTTGAGGTAAATCTCTTGCTTTAGGGCATTAGCTGATCAATACAGGCATCAATAGTGAGGGATTGTTTTCCCACCTCCCTCTGCGCGAAGTCACTTTGGACAGAATGGGGAGAGCAGGAAGAAGGCGCCCCTGCAGAACCTTCCTTCTGCAGTCCCTTGCCTCGTCAGGAGGGGGCGACTCGTGCAAGGAAGGGCCATGGGAAAACATGGCAATTGATCATCCTAGCTCTGCCATTTTTTCCAACTTATTCACTCTCCCTTCCTGATTTTCAGTCTAATCTCAAGTCTTACTTTGTCTTTAATGTTTATGGACCAACTTGCCTGCACTTCAAGCCCAACACTTCCCTGTTCTTGCATTTACTGATAAGTCTTATTCATGTCCGTATATTGGAGACTTGGTAGTGACAATACACTTGACAGGTGGTTGAACAGCTGAAATGAACTCATTCCTAAAATGTGAGCTTGTTCCTTTTCTCTATTAGAAGATCTTCCCCTGCCCTTTCTCCTTTCCCTCCCCCGACGCACCTCTCCTTCCCTTCCCTCTAATTGAGCCACCTCTCCCTGCTGTCTAAATCACCTCTGGATTCAGTCATTCAATTTCATCTTCTTAGAGACATGTGTTCTAGAGCCTTCTTACCACCTCCGGATGGCACTGATTGTCCTCTTCCCCTGGTGTAGAGAGGGGACCCTGGGACCTCACCTCACCATCCTGGGAGGTTCCTTCTCCATGTCAACTGCCTGTTTCTCGGATCCCACGTGGCCCTTTGGTTTGGTTTCCTGTCTCCTTCTGGTCCTCCAGTACTTTCCTGATAAGAACATATGGGAGGTCAAATTTTTTAGGTTTTGCATGTTGAAAATACCTTTATTTTATCTACCAACTTAATTAATGGTTCAATCGAGATTTTTTCCTCAGAATTTTGAAGGCATCGCGGTATCTCCTTTCAATATCTCATGTTGCTGATGAGAAGTCTTCTTAATTCTTCATGCATAATCTGGATCCTTCTTTCTGGAAGCTTTTATGATCCTCTCTTTGTTCCCAGGGTTCTGAGAATTCACCATGATGTGACTTGGGAGGGCACTTGGCAGAGCCTGTGCTGGCAGCAGCCAGTGACGGAGGCACAGGCTCCCTAGTCTCACTCTTTGGGCTCAAATTCAGTGCCATCGGTTACTAGCTTTCCAACCTCAAGCCAGCTACTCAACCTCTGTGCCTCAGTTTCCTCATTTTAAAATGGGAATAATAATAGTATCTACGCATAGGGTTGTCATGAGAATTAAGTGAATTAACAGCTGTAAAATGCTTAAAATAGTGCCTACCATCTAGTGAGTGTTATTTAAGCATTATCTTTAATATTCAAATATGAAAAAAAGCTTAGAATTCTGCTGTTTCCTTGACCCTGTGCCTTGAGTATTAATGTTGCTGTTGAGGTTGGGAAGAGGTGAGCAGGTCTCTGCTGTGAGATGAATTTCAATGGGGTGAGGCTGATGAAGAAATGGGTAATTGTCATTGCTGTTAAGGTGCCCCTGGGCTATGGATTCCTAGCTCAGAACTGGGAGAATAACAGGGAAAGAAAACACGGTCTTTGAAAAAATCTGGTCACTCCAATTTAGAATTCAGATATGTTCCCAAAGGGTGTTTCTATTTTTCAATCTAAAAGGAAATATCATGACATAGATTCAGAATGGCAGTAAGAAAAATGGAAGGATGTTTTGGATATTCTCAGTGTCTTTATGAAAGAGAAATATATGGTGACCATGTTATCATTATTAGTCTTTTTTAATGGTTAAGCTAGATCAGCCCACAAGTTTCTGTACTTGGAAGGCAAACAAATGGTATCTTTCCTTGTAGGAACTTGAAATTTGAACAAATAAAGAATTTGCACACTTACCTTCAAAATGATATATTGATAATAGGAATGATAATTCGGGGTAACCAAAGAGCCCTAGTTAATGATGGAAAGCTTTATATTAAGTAATAATTCCAAATAATAAATTTAGAATTTAAAAAATTTAAATCACCATTTTGTATCACTCTCATGAAAAATCGATCCAAAGACCATAAAACAGATGCTGAAACCACTAGATGAAAGGGGTTGAGGAAAGAAGTATTCGCATAGTGTCAAAGTACTGTACATAGAATACTTACTATTTGCAAAGAGGTGTCTTTCACAATGGAGAGATATGCCGTCACCAGCTGATCCCAGGAATTAAACACCACGTCACTAATGGGGAGACAACAGGTGGATCCCAATATAATAAATATGAAAACACTGTCATCTATGAATGTACTTGCCAAAAATATTTACCCTGATTCTAATAATTAAGCTTTTTGATCTGACTTCCAGTCTTAAGAGAACACAGGCTAAAGGAACCAGTTAACATGATTCCATAGAGAAAACATCAAGCAAATTGAGAATGTGGGATATTCTACAACTAGCTTCCTCCTTTCAAAAAGGAGCTAGGGTGAGGAGGCTGGTCCCTCATGAGATCTAAGAGATATAGCCATATGTAATGCATGATCCTTGATTAGATTTTGGTTGGAAAAACTATTGATATTTTTGACACGGGTGGAGAGATATCAATACAGAATGAGCACTGGCCATATTATGGCCTCAATGTTAATTCCGTCAGGTGCCAAGGTGGTATTGTAGCTACGTAAGAAAATGTTTTTTTCAGGGCATGGGCTGGGGGAATCCCAGGAAAAGCGCTTAGAGGTGGGATTTCACGATGTAATTTACTTTGAAATAATTTAGCTAGATAAATAGATAGGAAGCAGATACTGCAAAATGTTAACTGTTGTTGAATCAAGATGGTAGGTATATGGGTATTCATTGTTTACTTGTTTGAACATTTTATATTAAGAAATTTAGGCGAATGGCCTGCAGATGCAAAATTGCACGAACCTGGCCTGATGGTGTTTTAGGAAGGAGTGTGGTGAGGCACCGAAGGGCCATGTTTGCACTGGAGGCCCTGGAAGGAGCACTGGCTGAGTTCACCAGAGCAACGGAGTGAGATACTCATTCACTCCAGGATATGTGAGAGTTTCGGAAGAATTAATGTACTTCCCAGAGTGCCCGAATTATTGTCAGGAATAATTTACTCACTGGCAGGATCAGCTTGAATAATTCATGTTACAACTGCAATGGAAATGCTCCTTGTTTGGTTGTTGTTACACTATTTTCCCCAAATTAAGTCACTTAAAATGACCTTTACATAAACTATTTTTAGGACGTATTTTCTTTCTTATTCTTTTTTTAACCAATTCTTCCTCCCAAACAACATTAAGTAATTGTCCTATCCATTCAGGCATAGATGTAGAGTAACAGTTAAAATGCAGAATTGCTTCCTGCAGTGCAAAATCATTCTTGAACTGTACTTGCTGCTGAAGAAGTAAGTTTCCTGTCCCAACCAGTTCCTCTGTTTCGGCCCTGACTTCAGGGAGCTAGACTGTGCCATGCTGCGCCGCCTGGAGAAGAGGATTCTGGTTGATCTCCCCAGCCAGGAGGCCAGGCAGGCCATGATCCACCACTGGCTGCCCCCGGTGAGCAAGAGCAGAGCCCTGGAGCTGCGCACGGAGCTGGAGTATGACATGCTGAGCCAGGTAAGCTGCCTGGGGAGAGGCATCTGGAGGCCAAGCAGCCACTGCATGACAGTCCTAGGTGGGATCTTCTCATGAGCTGTTCTGAGCTTCTTCTTTGAGTCACTTAGAAAAGACCCAAGCTCCCCATCAATGCAACTGGCCTCTTCTTTACAAAAGAATGAGGGAGCTCTCTGCCACTTGGAAATATTGAAGCAGAGAAACAAGACGGTATAGTGGGAATAGCACAGGGTTTAGACTTGGAGAACCGATGGTCAAATCCATCTTACTAGCTCTGTAACGTCAGGGGAATCACTTACTCTGTGAACCTCAGCTACTTTGTCTCTAAAATGCACACTGCAAGGAATTCCTGTGATGATTAAATGAAAGTTTTTCATGAACGCAAATGCTCTAGACGCATGTCTGTCGCCCTCATCGTCTCTGCTGTCACTGCCTCCTCTGAGTACACATTTGAACTTCATGCTCATTGAGGTTGCTCAAAAGCAGTTTTGGTCTTATTTACAAAAACCAGTGTCTGCTAAATTTGATCATCCTTCCTTCGCCAACATCTTATCTCGTAAATTTGGATGGAATTAGGAAGTTGTTTATTGCCCCCAAGCGCAATCTCTCTGGGAATCTTTGTGTAGTGTCCATGCGGGCCAGATGCAGAAACTAAACGGGCGCTCTGATCCATCATCACCACCAGCGTTCTGCCTGCTGACCAGGGGCTGGTTTGTGGCTGTTTCAGGAGACTGAGGGCTACTCAGGCTCGGACATTAAGCTGGTCTGCAGAGAGGCAGCTATGAGGCCTGTGAGGAAGATCTTCGATGCACTTGAAAATCACCAGTCAGGTAAAGGTGGGATCACAGCAAAGGTGCGTTGGGAGGAAAATTTGGTTAAAAAACCCAACTTTCACCAGCAGATGGAGCCTTGCGCCTGATCTTGGTGGCTCTTTACACTTGCTCCGATCTTGGTCGAATCATCCTGCCTGCACTCAACTTGTTCCTCTGCTGCCCTGTTTTGGACTAACCTTCTCCCAAGATGATGAAATCATCAGAGCTCAGGCTTTTAGTTCTCTGACACACTATGATGTTAGGCCGGATCCACTGTGGGACTATATAAATATTAAATAAAACTCTGATGATACATTTAAGTCACATATTTTTGTCTGGGCTTCAGGGGCTGAGTTGTACATTAAAGAACTTTCTCCCAAGCCCTCTTTAGCCTTGCCTTTTCTGCATCAGCCATTAAGAACACTGCATTATGCATCGCCCTGAAGGAGGGCCTCTTAGCATTTCGGGAGCATTGATCACCCTACGGTGGATCACTGTGCCCTTACTGTTGTTTCCATCCAGAGAGCAGCGGTTTACCTGGGATCCAGCTGGACACAGTGACCACTGCCGACTTCTTGGATGTATTAGCTCACACCAAGCCTTCAGCAAAGAATCTGACTCAGAAATACTCAGCCTGGCAAAGTGAGTTTGAGTCTGTTTGAAATCACATTTCCTCTGACCTGGCCACAAAGGCAACCACAGGGGCCTTCTGGTTGATTAGCAAAAGCAGAAGAACATAATGACTGAAATAAGAGGAAATTATTCCTGAAGACTGAATTAATTTGAACAACTGTATTTGCTTTGGAAGTATGAGATATTTTCATTAATGATTCATATTGATGTCAGCAGAATAATAAAGATTTCAGTGACAGGTATGTGTGCTATTAGGTCACGCAGTGGAGAGTTTTCTTGCAATTGGACTCCATAAAATTTTGATGAACAATTTCTCGTGGTGTTACTCACTTACAACTGGTGTCTTCATTTTAAAGGAGAAGATGTAGTTAGGAAAACTGTGCTGAAATGCACAGAACGGTTGTGGGTGGGGAGCCAGGCAGAAGCTGAGCCGGACAGACCATCTGACCTGCTGACACTTCAAGGCTGCACAGGGGTGGGAGTGGGAAGGAAATGTGGAGTCTCTTTCTTCTGACAATATTCTGAATCTCGCCAGCTCCCCCGAATTCTGACCTAAACCGGTTGTCTCAGCAGCAAAGCCCCAGCAGACCAGGCCTCACTGGGAAGTGCCACTCCATCTCTGGAGGTGACTTCTCTGAGTCCAGCGCTGACAGCAGTGGTGACTGGCCCACCACCAGCACTAGCTACCAGTTTCAGAGTTGTGAGTTCTGACCCCCAATACAATTTTTTTTATCTTCCCCTGAGGACATTTTCATTGCTTTTAGAGAGGGGAAGGGATAGAGGGAGAGAAACACTGATATGAGAGAGAAGCATTGATTGGTTGCCTCCTGTACATGCCCAGACCTGGGGTCACATGAGCCTGGACCAGGGACTGACCACACAACCTAGCTATGCGCCCTGACCGGGAATTGAACCCACGACCCTCTCATAGTAAACTGTATTTCTATGAGAACTGTACATTGTTCACTGCAGAGCCAACTAGTGAATCAGGGTTACATTTTCTCTTCTGGTGAGTTCTGTCCTTCCTTGAATTAATAACTACCTCCCCACCTGCTTTTCATTTGCTTAGTTTTCTGAGTACCCCCCCCCCTTTTTTTGCAACACATCATCAGATCTGTCAGATTGCCATCAGTATTATTTTCCAAATGGCCACATATCAGACAAATTTTCAGTTCCATCCCCATGCTCTCCGGTGCTGGCCCTTTAAGGGGAAGAGAACTGAGGGCCACTTGGAATAAGCAGACATGTACCTAATTCCCATGGTCAGCCCTGCATCCACTACCATGCCCACTGTCCCCCAGCCCTTAAGTATCATGGTTTTACGTCATCAGAAAATACACCTCCATTCTCCTGTCTAGGCTGCTCAGGGTGGGAGGGTCTGGGGCTCCAGCCGTTTTGTTTGCCAGTTTTGAACCAATTCCTTGCTTTTCAACCCTGCCTCATGCCTGGCTTCCTCTCCACCTAGTATCTTCCAACCTTGAGTCTTTGAGGTGGTTCTTCAGGATGAGTTTTGCTTCTTTTCTTTGCACTGGTTTTAATTAGCAACACTTTATTTGCTCACCACCTTCCAAACAATTGCACCCTCTCCCCCATGGGTGTCTCCTCTACCAGTCTCTTGTGGCCTGTCCTTGAGGATTTGTACTTTCTTTATTCCTCTCCTCTTGTTTCAGTGGGGCTTTGAGAGAGAGAGAACAACTAACACATCTGACTAATCTGCTCTGTTTATAGAGTCTGCATGTTTTTTCTTTAGATTAAAAGCCTATCTAAATTTACAGGGCTATATGAGATTGGAGGAAAATTTAACCTAATCCAACATGTGGTATTTTCTTCTAAAGCAGAGCTCACAACTCAAATTCCTCTAGGACCCTAGGACATAGTAACACCTGAGTAAAGTAAGCTGGGTGTGAGATAAGGAAGCAGTGGGGACTGTGGGGAAGTGGGGAGAGCCAAAACTACTGGAATGACACAGCAGTGTGACTCAGCCCCAGCTGAATGTGGAATCTGGACCTAACATTGCCTGATCTTCCTCCCTTCTTAGGAAAACCAGTAGTACCCGTGATCTGCACCTGAAATACCCGTGTCAGATCTTGGCAATAAGATGAACTATCTGCCTGTAGAATTCTGGCTTGTTTCCACACTTCACCTCATCTGAAGTAATCCCCTCCCTCTTACTGGGTTTAC